TTCCCATAACATCTCTAGGAATTGTTCCCAATATGAAGGTTCTGGTTTAACGTATAATTAAATTCAATAAGACAAACGTATTATTATTTAATTTTAATTTTATTTTTTCTGTTTTGCATTTCCTTTGCATAGCTACTTTATATAGTGTATATTGGAAATACTCGCCACTCTGTTCCTGAGTCTGCGGTTTGTCTTTTTCATCTGCTATTTCATCATCATCGTCATTGTCATCCTCGTCTCCGTTTTCTGCTTCCTTGCTTTTAGTATATTCTTCCAGAAATTCATCGTATGCTTTAATTGCAGTTTTAACTGCCATATCATGGTAGTTTTGATTATGATTGTTTTTCATATCCCTGAGAACTGAAAGTAACGTATCAATTTGTTCGCGAAGTTTATTTATATTTTCTTTCAATGAAGAAATGCGCTCTTTGTATTTCTTTATGCGCTCTCGATTGACTATCAATAGATGAAACATTTAATTGACAACATTAATATTAATAAATGCATTCAAAATAATATTAAGGTTCAATAAATAAAATAAGATACGAAGGAACCTTTAGACCCTGACTGCTCCGTATCCGTTTTCCTAGCTTCAATCTTTTTCAAAGCCGCTAATTACCAATGAAACAATATAAAAAACATTTATTTAGATTATTTATAATCTAAAACATAATTTTTATAAACAAAAAATACCTTCACGTTCTCTAACTCTAATCTTTGCGGCTTCAAGTTCAGTTCTTAGTCGATTTAATTCAGCTTCACGTTGTATCCTTAACTTCTTACCGTCTTCTATATAACCATTTCTTATTCGTATACCCTATTTATAAAAGTGTTTAATATTTAATATTTAAAACGAAACATAAATGAATTTAAATAATTTAGAACATACTTGAGCTCGCAAATTTTCTATTTCCTTTAACTTTTTATGATACTCTGCGCTAGCTTCTTTACATATATTAGGACACTTTATTTTTCCATCATATTCATCTGAGCCATCACAACATTCTGGCTCTTTAATATAAAATAAAATTGAATTAATAATATGAAATAAAAGAATTTATCGAAATTTCGATATTTACCACAGATGCCATCATTAACGCGGCTAGATGGTATATAAGATGGAATGTGTCCCACATTTCTACAATAGAATTTACCATTAAGGCATGCCGATGTACCTAAACATTAACCCAAAATTAATTGTCAAAAAAAATCGTTAGGATGGAAATAAATAAAAAAAAAAAATAAACATTACCCGGTTCATCTGATCCATCTGCACAATCACAGAAGTCATCATTAATAGCTTCGTACGGTATAGTAGCAGATCCATCTAAACAAGTCCAATTCGCTCCTTTAGCCTCGTAAAGATGTGCCTCTAATTAATTAATAGATAAAAAAAATTATATGTATAATTATAAAAAAAAAAAAAAAAGTACAAAATTCACTTACTGGACTCCTCAACGCCTAGAAGTTTCGAAAGGTTGCCTACTTTGGCATGTACGCAGATTGTAAAAAAGCTTAAGATAACAAATTCTAGTATTAGTTTATAAATTGAAGAACGTTTAATTGGATCGGTTAAAACCAATTTAAGTGCCATAATATGAAATCAAGAAGAAAGTAAGTCGATCCGGTTTGACACTTGTTAATATCATTCTTATATCGGTATCGTGAAATTTTATAGATGCATGTCAGTTTCTGATTGGGCAGAAATAATAAAATACATATTACCTCAAAAATAACGTTAATATCCAACACTAAAACAAAATCATCAGCTTTAGTTAATAGAATAGAAGGCACGGTAAAAAAATTGGGCTCATATGGACATGCCTTCGGTTGAGGCATGTCTAATGGGCATGCCCTTT